TGTATTTGCTTAAAAGCAAAGATGAAGCCGTTGATAAATTTATTCTTTATAGGAATGAAGTGGAAAACCAACTTAATCGAAGAATTAAGAAGGTTAGAAGCGATAGAGGTGGTGAGTACGAAGCACCGATTGGTGACTTCTGTGCAAGTGTGGGTATCATACACGAACGTACGACACCTTACTCACCTCAATCGAACGGTGTTGCCGAACGAAAGAATCGTACATTGAAAGACATGATGAATGCGATGCTTATAAGTTTGGGCCTACCTCAAGATGCGTGGGGTGAGACGATTTTGACAAGTAATTACCTTTTGAATAAGGTACCCCGCAAGAAGCTCGATAAGACTCCTTATGAGTTGTGGAACGGTAGGAAACCTTCCTACCAGTACCTGAAAGTGTGGGGGTGTCTTGCCAAAGTATTGGTGTCAACACCTAAGAAAGTAAAGATAGGTCCTAAGACGGTGGACTGTATCTTTATTGGCTATGCACATAATAGTTGTGCTTATCGGTTCTTAGTACACGAGTCCTATAATTCGGACGTACACGAGAACACGATAATAGAATCAAGGAACGCGAGCATATTTCTTCGAGAATATATTTCCTTGTAGGTCCAACGAGGGACCAAGTACGTCAAAACGAACGTTTGACGAAACTATGGATAATGATAGTGGGGAATCTGAGAAAGAACCCGAACTCGAGCCGAGACGCAGTAAGCGGGCGAGAGTTGGAAAATCATTAGGTCCTGATTTTCTAACTTACTTGTTAGAGTACGATTCGGGTACTCTAACTTGTTTATTAGAAAATGAACCCGATTTTCTATCTTGTTTGATAGAGAACGAGCATCGAACGTATGTAGAAGCTGTGACTTCTACAGAAGGACCAATGTGGAAAGAGGCTATAAAAAGTGAAGTGGATTCTATCCTACAGAATCACACTTGGAAACTTGTTAATCTTCCTCCGGGTAGTAAACCCTTAGGTTCCAAGTGGGTCTTTAAAAGGAAGATGAAACCGGACGGTTCCATCGAGAAGTATAAGGCTAGGCTTGTAATCAAGGGTTACAGGCAACGCGAGGGCCTCGATTACTTCGACACGTATTCTCCCGTGATGAGAATAAACTCCATTAGGATGATTCTTGCCATAGCCGCGCTGCGGAACTTGGAAGTTCATCAAATGGACGTTAAAACCGCTTTCCTAAATGGCGAATTAGATGAGGAAATCTATATGGAACAACCCGAAGGGTTCGTGGTTCCGGGCCAAGAAAGGAAAGTGTGTAAGTTGGTTAAATCGCTCTATGGTTTGAAACAAGCGCCTAAGTAGTGGCACGAGAAGTTTGACCATGCGATGTTAACTAACGGGTTTAAAATAAACGAAAGTGACAAATGTGTCTACGTTAAGGAAATGATAAACGGATACGTCATTCTTTGTTTATATGTCGATGATATTCTCATCGTTGGTAGTAATGATCGGATGATCAAGTCCACCAAGAACATGTTAAATGCGAGATTTGACATGAAGGATATGGGTTTGGCTGATTTAATCCTCGGGATTAGAATCATTAAAAGACCTGAGGGTCTCGTGTTGAGCCAATCACATTATATTGAAAAAATCCTTGAGAAATTTAACAAGGGTGATGGTCAAATGGCTAGGACACCGTTTGATACAAACATTCATCTAACCAAGAACCACGGAGAAGGTATTTCACAAGTGGAATATGCTCGAGTAATTGGTAGCTTGATGTATCTTATGAGTTGTACTAGGTCGGATATTGCCTTTGCGGTTAGTAAACTTAGTAGATATACGAGTAACCCCGGTGCTATGCACTGGAAGGCAATAGTAAAGGTTATGAGATACTTGAGGTATACTCGTGATCTTGGACTGCACTACGGAAGATATCCCGCTGTACTTGAAGGGTATAGCGACGCGAATGGATATCTGATATTAAGGACTCCAAGTCCACGAGTGGCTACGTGTTTACACTAGCCGGTGCAACCGTTGCATGGAAATCCTCTAAGCAAACTGTGATAGCTAGATCCACGATGGAATCTGAGCTGATAGCCTTGGACAAAGGTTGTGAAGAAGCTGAATGGCTACACCATTTTATAGAGGATATTCCTAATTGGGAAAGACCGGTCCCTCCAATATGTGTGCATTGCGATAGTCAAGCCACAATGGGGAGAGTATAGAGTCATATGTATAATGGTAAGTCTAGACACGTGCGTTGTAGACATAATACCATTAGACAACTGCTCACAACTGGTGTTGTCTTGATTGACTACGTAAAGTCAAAAGACAATATAGCGGATCCGCTGACCAAAGGGTTAGGCAAAGAATTTGTGGAGAAGTTGACACGAGGAATGAGTCTAATGCCCTTGGACTAAAAAGTTCTATAGTGAATACCCAACCTAGCTGGAACCTAGGTTCAATTGGACAACTAAATTATGGAACGGAGCGCGTCACTGTGGGGGTCTCGGACTCCCTACCACTCCTTGTTAAAACAGTGACTCACGCACGAGGCTAGCATGTTAATGCTTTAATGATTCTTGAGTATGCGGGATACTCGAGAAAGAATCGCCTATGTAAGAGAGAAGTGAGGGTCGCTTCAAAGGAGAATTGTTGGGCACAATTCTTTAGAAACTCTCGCAGAACCAGGAACAGTGACCCACGACCAAAACGGGCACACTCGTGAGAACAAGAGCATGGTTGGAAGATTCCTGTGTGAGATATGTCATCGTCTACACAAACGGCAGTCGGTTCAAAGACATCGCGTTCTACCGTACAGCCAGTAGAGTAAACATGTCTTCACAAGGAAATGTTCAAAGGGTATAGTGACTCCCTACCTATCCTATGTAGGGATCGACCGTTTGAACACATCTGTTTCCGATTTCAAAATACCCCGAAAATCAATTTTTCATTAATGTGGGGGATTGTTGGAAAAAATAGCTTAAAATGACATAAAATGGCATATTAAGTGGCTATTTTGTGGTAATATTATCAGTGGGGTCCACTTCCGATTTGGGTCGGGTCAAAGTGGATTCGGGTTCTTCGTAGTGAGAAGAAGAGATTGATATATTGTACGCTCAAAACGGATAATGGGTGAATAAGATATTGATTCTCAAAGTAGACCCATTTGAGTTGGAAAATGAAGGGAAAAAGTGAGCTTTTGTCCCACATTGGTTTGGAAAGAGGATTTGCCCCCCTTATATACAAGAGCTCTTTTGAAGCTTGTAGAATTGTATAGCATAGAAGCTTTCTCGCGCGAGGGGTGCAAATCAAATTCTATCTAGAAATTAGAGCGAAAGGCTTGATTCAAGCCCCGAGCTCGTGTGTGCGGGCACGAGTGTCGTCCGAAAATTGGCTGGCCTTGCGGGCTAAGTTATGCCAAGGTTCGGTATCATTTTTCCAACACGCCACTGGAGGATATGTTGTGGTCTCGACCTGGGGCCTTATGACCGAAACTACACGTGACCGAACAGGCAGTTTCGGCCTTGGGCCGAAACTTTGGTCTCGGCCTCCTAGGCCGAGACTGGGGACCCATGGCCGAAACTTCCAGTTTCGGCCTGGGGTCAAAACTGGAAGTTTTGACCTGCACGAACCTGTCCTGTTTTGTGACCATTGGGTGTTCAACTCTACTGTTACGGAATTAATTCTTTGAGTTAATTCCAATTTTTAATTTTGAATTGAAACCCATGTTGATGGTTGCTGTTACAGGAATTTGGAGGGGTGCCCTTAAGTGCCTAATTAAAAGCTATTTAAATCCACCACCCATATATAAGAGAGGGTAGAGGCAGTAGAGATTCACACACAGAAAAAATTGAACTAGAAAATTCATCTTTTAACCTCAAAAACTCTCTGCTTCTACTCTTTCTTTAGCCATATTGTGTTCAAAACCGTGTCTTGTTTGCCGGATTCCTTGTTTGAGTGCTCAAACTTTTGATCACAAGCAAGTTTTATCCTGGGATGCCTCGGCCACGAAGCTCCTAGCACTTTTGGGAGGTGGCAAATAAGGTTTTAAAGAAAGAGTGATCGCTTGACTCTTGCAAAAACCCAACACCAAACACTAGCCAAATTCTCCATCTTTCCTTCCCTTGTTTTCCAGAAAATAATAATCTTATTTTTTGATTATTATTTGTTTTTTTTCTTCCAACGGTTCCAATAATGCTTGCCGCAATTTTAGTGTCTTGGTGCAGTACACCTTAAAAAATAGAACAAAATTCTCCTTCCCCAAAAATGACAAACGAGACTAAAGTTACAGTGAGACACCATTTTCTCATGAGACTGTTGATGCCCATGATTGAATTGGGGACCTTCAGTGTGTAAGACTTACATGATAACCACTACACCACACCAACTAGTTAAGAAGAACAAGCCTTGAAATGGAAGAAGAAAGCCAAAGGTCAACCTTAACCAAGAACATTAAGTGATCGGTTCTAATCAAAACAGTTAATAGAGAGTTAATCAAAAAAGATAATAGATAGCTAATTGCACGAATCAAGATTCAAGAAGGCCAATAGAAAAAATTCTGCAAAAAGTCAGTTGGAGTTATCTCTAAAAATCAAACAAACTTCCATCGTTAAAATGAGTTGATACAATGACATGGAAGGAGCTCTGCAGAAGATAAACGTTGATGCCCATGACATAAAATGGGAAGGAAATCTGCAGAATACAAATATAATGTTGATTGATGCCCATGATTGAACTGGCGACCTTTAGTGTGTAAGACTAATGTGATAACCACTACACCACACCAACTACTTGAGAAAAATAAGCTCTGAAATGGAAGAAGAAAGCCAATGGTCAACCTTAACCAAGAACATTAAGTGATCGGTTCTAATCAAAACGGTTAATAGAGAGTTAATAAAAAAAGATAATAGATAGCTAATTGCACGAATCAAGATTCAAAAAGGCCAATAGACTGCATAAAGTGACACGGAAGGAGCTCTACAAAAGATAAACGTTGATGCCCATGATAAAAACTGCAAAGGAAATCTGCATAAGTTAAATGTTGATACCCAGGATGGAACTAAGGACCTGTAGTGTGTAAAACTAACATGATAACCACTACACCACACCAACCTATTAGTTAAAAGAATCTCTGAGAAATAGATGATGATATAATGACACGGAAAGAGCTCTACAAAAGATAAAAGTAGATGCCCATGATAAAAACTAAGCAACTCTGCAGAAAGATAAATGTTGATGCCCAGGATTGAACTGGGGACCTTCAGTGTGTAAGACTGACGTGATAACCACTACACCACACCAACCTATTAAAAAAAGGAATATCTGAGAAATAGATGTTCATGAACACCATTACATATCTAATAATGCCAAAAAGACAAGTATAAAAAGGATGCTGGCAAACAAAAATGTAATGTTTACGTTCAATGAGATTATGCAAAGGATCCTCATTATCATTTCCTCAAAGTTATTAGAGATTAAATAGGCTGGATTGGACTTGTTCTATTAGACATATTCATAGACAATATCATTGGCTACGTAACAACACTTTTCTCTTCATGCAATGCCTCTCTTCCTATTACATTCAATTGGTACAATCTCTTGTTATTCACAAGCTCTATTTATACATAGCCTCAACCAGAAGTGGATTAGACTAGTCACCATTACATGTTCTTCAATTCCATATCTTGATTTCCCATTTTGACATTCCCATATATGCAAAAGAATATATGCCTTTTTATCCATTTTTGAGGGGTGGATATGTGAGTTAATATTCAAAGCATCTTCAACTAGCAGTGCATGATTGATCAATTTGACCTTTTAATTCTCAAAAGATCACTTGACACTATTATTCATAAGACTCCTCTTTGAAGTGCTAACTCAATGCGCGAGTTCAAACTAGTTCAATTTGTGCATGGTTGTTGAGTAAATGGTATTAACCATTCATCCCATAAGCTAGTAGTATTGTTGTGAAGAGTCTCTCGTATTCTTGAGCGGAGATAATATAATAAATCCAATATTGTACTATGGTAAAAATTGGTGTAGAACGTGTTATATTATTGTTATTCTATGCATGTAAATCACTATGTATAAATGCATAATATACAACCTTTAATTACTTTTCTTCCATTTAATGCACACCTGTTTAACTTTTAATTTATTTAAATATTAGGCAAATATCATGCATTGCATGATTAAATAATTATCCAATGAGAAAAATAAGAAGATAAATGCAATATAAATAGTTAATATATTGAATGAGGAAGAAACGTAAAATTTCAAAAAAAAATAAAAAATGGAGATAAGGGTCAAAATGTCAAATATGTCATCTAATTATACTGATTTTTTTTTTTATTTTTTTATTTTTTTTTGTAGATGGAAGGGGCCTAAGGCCCGGAGAGAATTAACAAATTCTAGTTGTGGCCACATTATTCATGTCACGAGCCAATAACCGGTCGAGCTCATCTGGAGGCTGAGTAAGAATTGAGGTGCCCCAGGGTGAGTGTTGCCCCAAATTTGCAAGAAAATTTGCACACTGATTGTCTTCCTAAAGGATGTGAACGAGCTCGCAGACTGAGAAAGAAGCCATAAGAGATTTGCAATCTAAGACCAGAGTGTCGGTCTCCAGACGTTATGTCATGGAACGGTGAACACGGTTCCAACGGTGTTAGTACATCGTTATCTTCTTCTTTTTTTTTTTTTTTTTTTTTTTTTTTTTAATTAATTAATTGCGTGACTTTTCTTCTTTATTTTCACATTTTGCGGTTTCACTTTAATTTGAGGTGAACAAAGATTTCGGACATTCATAAATTATGAATTCATGCCTGCACATTTACTTTGGAACCATGTCTACACATTCCCGTCCGAAATCACGGACATTCATAAATTATGAATCCATGCCTGCACATTCACTTTGGAACCATGCCTACACATTCACTTTGGAACCATGAGATTATGAATTTTCTGTTATAAGATTATGAATTTTCTGTTATGAGATTATGAATTTTCAGTTATGAGATTATGAATTTTCTGTTATGCGATTATGAATTTTCTGTTATGAGATTATAAATTTTCATTACATTCATAATTTCGGACATTCATAAATTATGAATTCATGCCTGCACATTCACTTTGGAACCATGCCTACATATTCCCGTCCGAAATCACGGACATTCATAAATTATGAATCCATGCCTGCACATTCACTTTGGAACCATGCCTACACATTCACTTTGGAACCATGAGATTATGAATTTTCTGTTATAAGATTATGAATTTTCTGTTATGAGATTATGAATTTTCAGTTGTGAGATTATGAATTTTCTGTTATGCGATTATGAATTTTCTGTTATGAGATTATGAATTTTCATAAAATTCATAATCTCATAACAGAAAATTCATAATTTGATCAAACGCGCGCCGTTAACTCCACATCCGCGATTTTTTTTTTTTTTTGCCTAAAAACGACGTCGTTTTGCCTTGTGTTCACCATTCTCGGTGAACACGATTCCATGGCATAATTTGCGGTCGGTCTCTGATGATGAACCAACGTCGTCTTTGTTGAGAACCTGAACAATAGCAACAGAGTCCACCTCCGCGATAAGATTGGTCACACCAGAAACTTTTGCCAGATTGAGGCCTTGTCGAAGACCCCATAATTCGGCTACAAAGCTGTTAGTATAACCAATCTTTGCCGTAAACCCCGCTTTACATGTGCCCCGATGGTCGCGCAAGATGGCCCCGCGCTAGCGAGTCCAGATGAGGCTTTTTTTCGCACCCTCCGTGTTGAGCTTCATCGTTGCAGCTAGAGGCGGGTGCCAATGGACCCAAATCTGTTTCGCCATCATACGACCAGCATGCTTCATGAGAATATGTTGGGCATCCTTGGCCTCGGCAGTGGCTTTCGTCATGATGTCCGCTGCTGAAGACCAAACGTTGTTGAAGACCCCCGCATTACGCAATTATGCTCTTAAAATTTAAAAGTTGATCGTAATATGTATGCAGTGGTGTCGTCTCTACTTTATAACAACTTAATTAATGGGGAAACTCCGTCGTTATCTTATTCTGTAAAATTTTCTCTTATTTCTGGAGATGGTTCTTAGTAGAACAACAATATATATAGATGATTTGAGATTTTTGAATTTCATGAGCTTAATTTTCAATATAGTTAGATGATTTACTTGACTTTAAAAAGAAAAAGGTGTAACTGTACAAGAGAATAAATATACAATGTACATGTTAATACATTCAACCAATAACAAAGCCAAACATATAATATAGGGGAATCAATATTCTAACTTAATTTTAATTTTAATATTGTTTAAAGGACATGTCCTTTAAACAACATTAAAATTAAAATATAAAAAAAAATTCAAATTATGTTTTTTTGAATTAGTATTGGTGGGGCTCATAACTTTCGACTCATAAGACCAACTGAGTTACAAGACCTATGAATTATATTTGTTGATAAATAATTCAAAATATATTTAAAATGATTTTTAACTCATAAAAATTCAAAAAATTAAAAAAATATTTTAAAAATGTATAAATCTTACAATGTGGTGGCCGAGCGGCGGCGACGACTGGAGGTGGCAGGAAACAACCGAAACAAAGGCGGCGATGGCATGGAAGCGTTGGAAAAGAAAAAGGAGTGGCGGGGGAGGGTTTTTTTTTTTTTTTTTTTTTTTTCAAGTGAAGAATGAGGGGAATGCGTGCTAGGTTTTAGGAAATAGAATTTTTTTTTAAGATAGCTATACGACGTAGGTACTTCACCGAACAGACATCATATAGTATTAATTTTTTATATATATAAAAAAAAACATGTACGACGTGACGTTGGTTCAATGACGAACCGACGTCGTAGCCTGAATTAAAAAAAAAATTATACATTTAATATACGATGTCGGTTATAAGAAAACTGACGTCGTATATCTACTAATTTCTTCTTCTTTTTTGTTAAACAAAAATGCTACGACGTCGTCCTAACCTGAATTTTTTTTAAAAAATAAACATGTATACTATACAACGTCCCGACGTCGTATAGATATTAATTTTTTTTTAAGGTTACGACTTCGGTTCTTTAACGAACCGACGTCGTAACATTAATTTAAAAATTATAAAAAAAATAGATGTACTATACGACGTCGGTTATAAAACAAACCGACGTCGTATATTTTGTTTTTTATTATTATTTAAAATGAGTTATAATGTTGGTTTTTAAGAAAAATTGACGTTAAAATCATTTTTAATAAAATTATAAATTTATTTAATATTTTTACGTCGATTTTGTAAAAAAAAAAAAAAAAAAAAAAAAAAAAAAACAACCATTGTAGGTGATTTCTGTTGTAGTGATGATACTTTTTATATTTTCATATAATTTCTCTTTACAAACAATTTCAAATAGATCTCTTTTAAAAAATGTAATCAATGTTTATCAAATTATCGCCTATTTAGTTATGCAATATATTTTCACTATTTTCATTACTAATTTTTTTTTAACATCTACTTTATAAAACCACTGAAGCACAAAGAGTCAATACCACTCCCATTGAGGATCAAATCCGTTACCTCCATTTAGAAGAGTCACTTCCTACCACAAGACCACAAGGTCATTTGCACAAACTTCTTAAACAAAGCAAAATGAGCACTATCATACAATGATATGGCATTATTTGAAGGATAAGTGGTAAAAAAAATGTTTTTTTTTTTAAAAAAAAAAAAAAGTGTTGATTACACAATGCTTTGAGTTAAAGTGTCTTATTTGAGATTTTTGAATTTCATGAGCTTAAATTTTACAATTCAATATAATTAAATGATTTACTTGACTTTATCCCCCCACACGAAAAAAAGAAAAAAGAAAAAAAAAGGTGTAACTGTACAAGAGAGTAAATATACAATGTACATGTTAATACATTTAACCAATAACAAAGCCAAACATATAATATAGGGGAATCAATATTCTTACTTAATATTGTCCTTTAAACAACATTAAAATTAAAATAAATATAATAAATTCCAAAGTATGTTTTTTTTTTTTTTGAACTGGTCTTAATGGGACTTGAACCCACAACTTTTAGCTCATAAGAACCACACTCTAACCAACTAAGTTACAAGACCTATGAATTATATTTGTTGATAAATAATTCAAAATATATTAAAAATGATTTTTAACTCATAAAAATTCAAAAATTAAAACAATATTTTAAAAATGTATAACAATGTGGTGGCCGAGTGGAAGAGCTGCGGCAACGATTGGAGGCGGCAAGAAACGACCGAAACAAAGGTGGCGACGGTGGTGGCGTGGAGGCGTTAAAAAAGAGTGGAGGTTGGGAAGATGAAGAAGAAGCAGTGGCGGTGGAGGCTTTTTATTTATTTTTTCTTTTTTTTTTCTTTTTCTGTTTCAAGTGAAGAATGAGGGGAATGCGTTCTAGGTTTTAGAGAACGGACATTTTTTTTGAGATAGCTATACGACGTATGTACTTCACCGAACCGACGTCGTATAGTATTAATATATATATATATATATAAAGAAGAACATGTACGATGTTGGTTCGATGACGAACCGACGTTGTAGCCTGAATTAAAAAAATTTATACATTTAATATATGATGTCGGTTATACGAAAATTGACGTCGTATATATACTAATTTCTTTCTTTTTAAAAAAAGGGTTACGACGTCGGTTCTTTAACGAACCGGCGTCGTAACATTAATTTTAACAAAAAATAGATATACTATACGACGTCGGTTATAAAACTAACCGACGTCATATATTTTGTTAATTTTTTAATTATTTAAAATGAGTTATAACGTTTGTTTTTAAGAAAATGTATTATCATACTATGATGTGGCATTAATTGAAGGATAAGTGGTAAAAAAATGTAAAAAAAAAAAAGTGTTAATTACACGATTTTTTGGGTTAAAGTGTTTAATTTGAGATTTTTGAATTTCATAAGCTTAATTTTACAATTCAATCTACAATACATATACAATTCTAATAAGAGCCAATAATGTTAGGCCCTTAACTGGAACAGAAAAATGTCGGTATTATTGTTTCTTAAAATGAATGGTTCATATTATTTTGATTTTAGTATTTTTTTTAATGATTTTCCTTATTTACCCTCTATTGTATTATTTTCTTCCCTTAAAAAACCTAAATTCCGTTAGTATAAACTTTAGTAGCGGAATATTCCGTTAACTATTTATTATTTTTAACTTACTCATTAATTTATATAAGAAAGGTCTTAGCTTCGAACCCCATCATAATTAGAGTTGGAATAATTGTTAAACATATACTACGAATATGTTAAAATGAATTAAAAATATAAATAATATAGAATTTGACATAAACTTTGGTAAAATAATTAGTCCGACAAAATACATAACATTCAAAGTTAAGCATCAAAGATTATAAATCAAGAACTTTAAAAATCATTTGATTTTTATACATTAAAAAAAAAAACAAATTTAGGTTAAGTTTTTTTTTTTTTTTTTCCTTTAATTAATCTTCTTTTGATTATTTAGATCAGAACAAAACTTAATATTTCGATTATATTTTTGCATTATTGGTATGATTTAGGTCGTTATGGTATTAATATTTTTTGTATGTATTTTTATAATGGTACAATTGTACATTGCTTTACAAATATTATACTATTATTTTTTTTATCAGACAAAATTGTTCTTACATTACTGTCAGACATGCGCGACCTAAGTACAAAGTTGTTGATCATAAATACAATTACACCTGGACTTTAAAAGGGTAGGACCAGTTGTTGGTCCCGGTAGGGTTAGAGCGAGAATCTAGAGGGGGGGGGGGTGAATAGACTCTCTTCAATTTTCGGCAAATATCCACCTCTCGGGGTTGTAACGCAGCGGATAAATTAAATAGGTTTTAGTTGCTTTGCACAGTTTGAAGTTGTGAGGTTACTTTTGGTTTAGACGAATGATGATGCAATGCTTGAAAAGTAAAGCACGAAAGTACAAAGATAGAGATACGAGAGTTTTTATAGTGGTTCGGCCAACTTTGCCTACTCCACTCTTCTTCCACAACTTATGGAAGGGTTGCACTATCACTCGTTAGTACAAATACACACAGAAACTTCCTTGATCACTAAGCCGGACAGCTTCCTGAAGGTTTTTCAACTTCGCGAGTTTACTCCGCCTCTATCAACGTCTTCTTCAGAGTTGAGGTTGGTAGAAAGTATTTTCTGATTTCTCCAACACGGTGAAGTCTTGACTGAGTATGGATGACTGCTTCATACAAAAAGCAAGACTTCTTCAAGGTGGAAGATGAAGATTGATGAATTTCTTTAAAAGATCTTCACGCCTTGAAAACTGGTTCGCAAAAGCTTGGTAAGAGGATGAGCTTATACAAGAGCTTTTGCTTGAGAGTAATAATTGAGTGAAAAGAACCAGCACCTTCTAAGTTGATGAAGGTGGGTATTTATCGATGTGGAAAATTTCATCCGTTGGAGGGAGATGAAATTTCAAACCTATTGTCCAGTGGGTAAGGACCGGGGAGCTTGGCGCAATAAATGCTCCGTTAATGCGGTTTGTACCATGCAGCCGTTGTGGACATGAACAACCTTGGGGTTTTTTGTCCTTTAGCTTCTGAAATATAGTACAGCTTCATTTAATGCTCCTAGGTATATGTGTCCCACACTTTAAGGTCCTTTTGTCCTCATGAAGATTAATCAACCCAGACAGTAGAGACATTCTTCTTGTATAGAAGAGAATGAGTGTCTTGATGAATCGTCATAAAGATAACTATCTTGTTGAGATGGTTGATAACCTGAGGGTGTCTTTCGTTGTCGAAGCCTCTGATCTCGTGCTCTATGTCTCTTTTCGCTTTGGCAGACCTAACTAAAGAACATAACTCGTTTTTCGTGTGTTTGTCTAACTTAACACGAATTACAGGATGAGTTATGGCATTTTTCGTCTAGAACGAATGTAGCGATGGAAATAACGAAAGTTAGGGGTCTACATTCTAAGTTACATTGGTATCATCAAAATCCTAATACAAGTGTTCCTAACAATTTCCCTCTTTTTGATGATGCCAAAACCTATACTCTTCTCATAAGGCTAGTAAATGTCCCATAAAGGATTCTTTATTTCAAAACAGCCATTATCGAGAGTTTACAAGTCATTTCTAATAATACAGATTATTAACAAGACACTGACAAGTAACTTAGACAGAGGACACGAAAGTTGTAACAACGAAGAATTCATATATGGATAACAGCACTTACAAAAAGTTTAAGGAGAGCAGAATGTAAAGTATCTTACATTTGTAATAGTTTCTCCTTCTGCAGCTTGGCCTCCTTGTATTCACGAATGTCTCTTTCTCTTTGTTCATTGAGCATTCTGTCGCAATCAATCTCTTCATTGATACGTTCTCTGAAAACCTTGATTGGATTTGTTTTGACTAGGTCTTCATATTTTCCTTTGATGTTGAGGCTTATGTAGTTGTTGTAAGCCTTGAGAATGTTTTCTCCTTCTACAATGCCTAATTTCCACCACGAAATCAGTTCGAAGGATTGCATCCCTTCTGTGTAGCTTTTTCCAAATTCGGCATGAACTTTAAAAGCTGCATTGTAGATGACTCCAGGTTCAGAATTCTTGGTTACTTTCGTGACATCTTTGATTAGCTCCTTTACCCGTTCTCTTTCCCGAAGTTCACGCTCTCTTTCTAGAGCTGCCTTTTCATGCTTATCCCATAGCACTCTGTTATTTCTCTTGATCCTTTCATTTTGAGAGCTTATGTGGTATTGCCTTGTATGGTTATCTTTTGTCTTCATCCACACACGAACATTGCATCCTTCAAAATGTTTTCCTCTTCCTTCTTCATAAGGCTTAAAATCCACAAAATTTCCCACACCGTCCATTGGTACTGTTCTATTTTTCATAAGCCTTTGTCTGAGGTTTGTCCTTTGTCTCTTAGAAACACCGCTGAATATGTATTTGGATTCAGAACCGAGAGATTGGCGAGGCTTGATAGAGTGATGTTGGGATTGTGACGGTTGATGATCACGAGATGAGTGATGTCTTGATTGAGAAGGTTGGTGATCACGAGACTTGGAAACTGGAGGATCACGAGACTTGAAGGCTGGAGGTGGAGGCAGAGATTTTATGCTTCTTCTATCAGAGTCTCGTTGTGTATCCTTATGATGATCATCATCCTTATCATCAGGATTCCTCTTTTCCCCCTTTTTGGCATCATCAGCACACGTAGTAGGAGCTGGAGGAGACAGATTGCTAATAGCAATCAAGACGTCTTGCACATATCCCAGAATTTGGTGCAAATATTCGCCCATCTGATATGAGTTATCATGTGCAGTTTCAATCTTCGTGCATGCTAAATCAACTCTCTCTTTGAGACTGAAATGAGAGTGCTTTAGTTCATGCTGTTGTCGGGCCACCTTGTTCACAGCAGTTTGAAACTCATTGAGTTCTTTCGCCAACTGAGCTTTAAAAGACCGTCTTGGTTGAGCTGACGATTGTGGTTGTGGTTGAGCTTTAGGTGGAGGACGAGATTGAGCTTGAGCATCCATAAGTTGATCAACCTTTTTAGACAGTTCTTCCAAGGTTTGGGAATCTTTGTGGCGAAGGGACATATATTCTTTGTGAATAACTTCGGCTGTATGAACCGTGCCCATCATTAGGTTCATGACGCTTCGTGGAGACATTAGTGGAGAATCGACTTCGATGTTTGTGGGCGAAGTTTCCATTGGTTCCTCTCAAGGTGGTGCTTCCTTTTTGCCACCACTAGCTGAGCTGATCAAAATAGGTGAGGCATCCAGATTTCCCTCACGAATTGTAGCATCTTCTCGCTTGATTGGAGTTTCGTCCATGTGATCAATGTGGAGGACGATAGCACGAGATAAGTCCTCAATGGGTGCATTTGAAATTTCTTCATCATGAGGAACTCCAAGTCGAGTTGGCATTGAGTCTTCAGGCTGAAGTGATGCTTCCTGTTTGTTATCACTTTTTGAGGATGAATGTTGAGATGAGGTTCTTTCGGGTAAGGGATCATCATTGATTAAGAGAGGAGATTCACTGTCATATTCCGGATTACCCTTATTGTTGTCATCATCATCATTATTATCATCGTCATCATCATCATCAGCGCCATTATCTTCATCATCAGCATCTTCATCTTCTTCGTCTTCCTTTTCTTCTTCCTTACTTTCATCAGATCCTTCATTCTCATCAGAGACAATTTCTTCATCAATTTCTCTGCCATTGTCGTCCTTTGATCCACTGACATCGCAATTTGGATCATTCTGGTGTGATTACTATAAGTCAGTCTTGATTTTAGATAAGAGCATTGCATATCGAAGTTCCTTCATTTCTTCAACGAAGGCTGGATCCAAAGGAGGCTTGTTAAGCTCGATGCAGATGGGTGCTTTATCTTTCCTGAGAGTGTGATTGGTCACTTTATATGAATACACTCGTCGAATTGTCTCAAGACGCAGTGCTTCATATACATCTTTCGTGCCGATCCACTCCAAGGCAATTTTTCTTCTTCCTTCATTGCTTCAGCTGTGTCAAGGAGAGTATCTATTGGAGATGTGCGCCACTTTTGCCATTGCATGACCCTATTGTAATCATTCTCCATAGATTCTCGAAGCAGTTGATCTCTTGATGGAGGGATTGGTGCAGCTTCTGGTAGTGTCACAACAGTTTTTGGGTCAACAGCCTTTTCATAGATCACTTTTTCGTCCTCAACTACCGATGCAGGTTCTTGTGTTAGAATATTCGGTACCTGCTCTGCAAGGGTAGGTTCTTGTGGGAGGGAACTTTCGGTGGGAAGAACAGCAGCAGCAATCGGGTTGGCAATCACTTCTCTCGTCTCTTCTGGCAAGCCAAGTTCTTGTGGGAGACTTAAGTGATTGACTTTCGTTTCCATAACAGCAGGTTCTTGTGTCAAACATGGGGATATTCGCTTTGCTGAAATGGGTTCTTGTGGTTGGAGGCATTTTGGAGAGCTTGCATCTGAGGAAGATCTGTGCTTTCTTTTCTTGGAAGATTTCGACTTTGCTTCCCCCTTTGACGATGCGTCTTTCGCCTTTGCTTTCTTCTTTGAAGATGCTTCTTTTGTCTTCGTCTTTTCGTCCTTCTGTGAAGGAGCTTCTTTCGTCTTATCTTCCCCCTGAGAAGATACTTCTTTCGTCTTATCTTCTTTCTGGGAAGATATTTCTTTCGTCTCTTCATCCAACTTTGACGAAGGAGGGGGAACAGGTTTTTCTTTTACAGGAGAGCGGAATCGTCCTGTTGATCTTTGCCCGAGATTGGATAGAATGAGATTATCATCATCATCAAAAGAATCCTCCACAACTACTGGATTCTTGGATGGAACAGGTGGTGTTTGGGTAGGTTTTCCGGCTAGAGGCTCTGGTGCAGTCTTTGGTGTAGATATTGGTTGCTCTTTAGGTTTCTCTTTCGTCTTTATGTGAGACGAACTCTTTTCTGTCTTCCTCCGTTTGGGCTTTGGTTGGTCTTCTTCTGAATCTTTCGCCTTTTTGGTCTTGCGTTGAGATTTGACCAATTCCAAAGGTATCTCTAATTCCAGAGCTTTTTGCTTGTCATAATCCGTGGGTTTGTACTTCATGTGGCATGCCTTCTGGCCAGGTCGTCTTCCTCCTTTGAGAGGGACATTCTTTGTAGTAAGGAGATGGCTTACCATAAATCCGAACCCCATCTTCTTTGAAATATCGCCAGGGGATGTTCTTTGATATGTGATGACATGGATAAGATTGTTGAAGATGACCTTTGACCAATCCACCTTGTGTTCATTGAGAAATGTGTGCAGCATTTTTAACTTATCCTTTGTTACGTCGTCTGTGCCCGGCGTCTTGTGCTCTACGATTTTGTTGAAGATATCTACTGTGAACTCATAGTCCAGGCGGAACCATTTCTTCTTTAAGGGCCATGTGATTACACAGGAGCCTGCTTGTTCTTGATGAAACGGTAGAAGTCATTCTGATCATAATGGTAGAAGGCGAAGTTTGGCTTGTATGACTCATCTCGCTGAGGAAAATCATATGCTGCTCGAATGTCCTCCGATGTGATTGTCACATCCGCTTGGTTGACCCTTGAAGATATGGTGAGTCCATCCGCAGACACACTTGCTTTCAGATAGAACTGAGTAACATCTGTGGGAAACCAAAACGTATAGAGATGAACTGCAAACCTGTACACACCAGTTTCTTGTAGAAGAGCGATAACTTTATCACCGAAGCTTCTGTCGATGACATATTCTAAAAACCCATGTGTATCCCACATACTTCCACCAACTATGAAGTCAGTCCGCGATTCAATGAAGTTAACATCGTCTGTTGGGAAGGTGGGTATCTCCATTGTGGATGGTTCTTCAGGTTCGACATCAGAGAGTGTGGTTTTGGATTTCTTAGCCATTTGAGAGAAGATGGAGATGATTTTGGTGAGAGGATGGATTTGAGAGTGAAGATGAGGGGAAAAGATAAAAGATGGTATAAGGCTTGTTTATGTAGGGTTGACGAGGTTCTAGGGTATGGGGAAAAACGGGTGACCCATGTGAATTGTGGCTGGTTTGAATTTCGAAATTCAATCGGTTCCAATTCCACTAAAAGGGTAACTGATCTGATGATAAAAATCTGATAAGATCAATTGCAGATCAATTTCGATCATTCCTCATTAAAGAGGAGAGAGAAAACTACTTGAGTACCCGTATGTGCATTAAATGCGGGTCAGATCAATCTGACAGAGATCATGGGGTAGTGGACCGGTTTTCTCGGCCACATGATGCCCACTGAGAATGTGCATTAACGGTTCAGATGAGCTAGATAAGTTGTATCTTCTTGAACACGCTTCACATCCGAAACACAACATATTTTACTTCATATGAAGAGACGAGTTCAAGAAACAAATAAAGTTTCGTGAACTCAAACAAAACATACAACGAAAGTACATGACACAGCCCGAGAGATGATTGTTACACGAAACATAGATATTAGACACTTGACGGCATCTCTCGTGATTCAAACTGCACGAGCTTTCATTCTTCGTCATTCCTCTTCTTTCGGGCATTTTCAGCATTTTCCTTCCTGATGATCTTGAGAGCGAACATTTCATCCACGATATTCTCGTGATCAATTCCCATAGCATCCCTGGAGAGTCCTATCTTTTCCATGGCATCCATTTCAGCCTTGACTCTTGCTTGAGCTGCAACGTATAGTGCTGTGTATTTCTCCTCAGTTTTGAGCTAAGGTGCTAGTTCCACAAGAGTGTAAAACCGAGAGGGGCTTGAGACTTTGGCGAATCCTTCCCCAGAGGATGATCCTTCTTTTGGAGAATTGTGGGGTTCATGAGATGGATCGATTGCAAAACGAACTTTCTTTGTTAGATCCTTGTTTGGAAAACACATTTTCTTTCCTTTGTCCATAACGATAGATAGAGCTCCGAACAAGATGGATTGTGAGATGACTGATTCTATTTCGCACAAGAGTTTCCTTCTTATAGAAGATGAGTCTATCAAAAGGCGTTGCCAGAGATATTCATTTAGGAACGAGATTCGTGAATGCAAACAAAACAAATAAAGTTTCATTCAGCACTTATGTAAACTCGGGTAAGAACCATTAAAAACCGAAATAATATTATTTCTTAGAAGGGAAGATTGATACAAGATAGGAAATATAAAAACTTAGATTAATTTCTCTTTCTTCCTTCTTTCTCAATCTCACTTGGCTCGGCTTTTGGCTTCTTAAGTTCACCCCGCATCTTTTTGTACAACTTCCCAGTCCTCAGGAAATTGGAATCAGAAGACGAAGCAGGTCCATCTTCGTTCGAGTTTGGCTCAGTCTTAGGTTGTTCCTTTAGATAATTAGAGTAGTCTTTGTCAATGTATTTGTTGGGCAGATCAGTAGGGATTTCCTCTTTTGGAGGATCTTCTACTGGGGGAGTTTCTTCAGGTTCTTCAACAATGTAGGCCGCCATTTCATCATACTGAGATGATTCGTTGTCAGAAGAGACTTCTAAAGGAGCTTGAAGACTATTCCCAGGGTAGAGGTCTCCTTGCTCTTCCCTGATTTTCCTAGCAATTTCTCTTTGCTTTTGAGAATCTCCTCTGGTGAATGACTTTTTAGGATACATGTTGGAGATTGAGATGGTAGAATAGAGAAGGATAGGTCCTCTTTTTATAGTCACGATGAGCAGAGGTGTTGATGAGAAACTGCATGCAGCATTCAATGCTGTAATTAATAGCCATAAATTTCTTCAAGTGACCATTAATTTAGTAAAGGACCTTGACCAGATATTTTCAAGAAGGTGATGATTCCAAGGTCAGAGTTTAGATTCCAAAGCGTGTAGATAAAAGATAGTTGTCGTTTCAGATGGGAGCTTATGCATTCATTATCAGAATTGAAACTTTACGAAATGGTGCATATGTAATAATTCCATCTTTGACCAGATAAGAGATATTGTTGACCCTATCACCATCTTCTACTAGTTTCATGATTGTGGCGTTTGTGAGTTTGCTTGCTTCCAGAAGATGGTGATCACGCCGAATAGCTCGTTTCTCGGCTTCGTCCATCTTTCCTTTGCCCTTATCCATACCTGCAAATGTTACTCACTAAAATACTAGATTTGTGAGTAAAGTTCGTTGAAGGAGGTTCTGATTTATAGGTGCAAAGGTTGCGTGCAGATATGTTCAAAAGATTTTGGAACACAGTGCTAGGTTTCGTGTTAAAGACGCAATAAGAAAATTCGAGACATAGGATATCAATAATAAACTTAGACCATAGAAACACGAAATTTATTTAAGACAAACATAACCACAATTTATCAAAGTGACCTAAGATGATTCGTTAGGTCTTTTTCTTCTTGCTGCTAGCTGTGGATCTGAGAGGGGAGGGCATTTTTGGAGGAGTGCTTGATGGTGAGTAGTCCAAACTGTCACTCCTTTCTAGCACACTGTCCACATTGGCATAACCTATGGTGTTGCCAACCGAGTGAAATGATTCATGTGATTCGTGTTTCGTTGGATCACGAAGGAGATTTTGCAGATATTGTGAGCTTGCTAGAAATTTGTTTAGGATGCCCTCGTCTTCAAGGGGATCATGAAAGATTTCAGTTTCTTCTTGTTTCTTCTCTGTGATTATCATTTTTGCTTCATTTTCTGTGCTCATACCTGCAATCACAGATTATTCAAACAGAATTAATTAGAATAAAAGGTTAGGGTGAGTTCATTGTACCATCCCTTGTCCGTTTATATAGCTCGAGATTTATTGCGTGACATAATGGATAAGTTGCTGCCTTTTTGGCTTCCCGAGATATGCTTTATGGAATCTTTTCAGGAATCTCTGGTCTTTTAGATTTCTTAACACGCCATCGAGTTATGTCAGCTCAATCATTCCAATTTCATGTCGAAGTGTAGCAAATCTATTATCACATAGTGGTTTCGTGAGTATATCTGCCAATTGATCATCATTGTTAACATATACGAGAGATATGTTCTTCTTCTCAACATGATCACGAATAAAGTGATATTTGATGTCAATATGTTTTGTGCGAGAGTGCAAAACAGGATTGTGCGTGATTGCAATTGCACTTGTATTGTCACACTTAATTTGCACTTCTCGTGCTGTTACTCCATAATCTTTTAACTGATGGATCATCCATAATATCTGTGCACAGCAGCTGCCAGCTGCAATGTATTCGGCTTCAGCAATGCTAGTTGCAATAGAATTTTGCTTTTTGCTGAACCAAGACACAAGTCTTCCCCTAGGAACTGGCAAGTTCCTGAGGTACTCTTTCGGTTAATTCTACAACCAGCAAAATCAGCATCTGAATAGCCAATAAGATAAAAAGAATTTCCTTTCGGGTACCAAAGTCCTACACTTTGGGTTCCCTTTAGGTATCTTAAGATCTTCTTAGCAGCACTTAGATTACTATCCTTTGGTTTGGATTGAAATCGTGCACATACGCCAACTGCAAAGGAGATATCGGGCCTGCTGGCTGTAAGATAGAGAAGTGATCCAATGATCCCACGAAAGTTCTCTTGATCAACATCTTTTCCCTCATTATCAACATCCATTCTCAGGGTTGTGCTCATAGGGATTTTAACAAAGGACTTTCCATCAATTCCAAATTTGCGAATTAAGTCCTTTGTATACTTAGCTTGATTGATGAATATTCCTTCCGGACATTGCTTAACTTGCAAGACAAGAAAGTAGTTCAATTCTCCCATCATGATCATCTCGAATTTGCCTTGCATAAGGTTGGAGAATTTTTCACATAAATCTGGATTTGTACTTCCAAATATAATGTCATCAACATAGATTTGAACTAGTAGGATATGATCATTGTTTTTGATGCGAAAGAGCGTTTTATCAACAGCTCCTTTCGTGAAACCACAGTTAATAAGAAAATATGAGAGTGTATCATACCAAGCTCGTGGAGCTTGTTTTAATCCATATAGGGCCTTTTTGAGATGATAGACTTTTTCTTGTCCACAATCAATAGCAAAACCTGGTGGTTGCTCGACATATACTTCTTCTTCAAGAAGTCCATTTAAGAATGCACTTTTGACGTCCATTTGATAAACTTTGAAATCTTTGTATGCTGCATATGCTAGAAACATTCATATGGCTTCAAGTCTAGCTACGGGGGCGAAGGTTTCATCAAAATCAATTCCTTCTTCTTGACAGTAGCCTTTAGCAACAAGACGAGCTTTGTTCCTAACAATGAGTCCATCTTCAATCATTTTGTTTCTAAAAACCCATTTGGTTCCAATGACATTTTGATGTGTTGGTCTTGAAACAAGTTCCCATACATTAT